TATATATATATATATATATATATATATATATATATATATATATTTCTTCAAAAATTATAACATAAGCATGTTATAACATCACTACAAAAATAGCCATTTTGTTTCAACACTTCTGGTGTCTTATCAAGTGATGATCTTGATTGCGTAATAAAGAGTTTTGTTTTTTTTTTAAATTCAAACCAAACCAAACCAAACCCCCTCAATAAGGGAAATATTGTTACTTAACCTATGATGACTAATCAGAATACAAGTATATTGTAATTCAAAAATACGTGACAATATATTTTAAGTACAAACCATTAGTGTAGTAATTTAATGTTAGATTAAACTAGAAATCAATATGAAATAATTAAAGTCTAATTTCACAGAAAAATTAAAAATTTCAAATTCTAAATTTAACCCAGCATTATGTTTAAAATATTACAAAATTATTCAAAAATAGAACGGGGGAAAATTATATATATATATATATTTATTACTATTCTTAGCTAAGTGTCACTTTATCAATTTATTCTGGTTGGTTTGTGTTGTTTTATTAGTATATTTATGCTTGATTTTTGGTGAGTTTGTTTATTTGTATCTAGGTACGGGTGTGTAATTGCTTGTATTTGCTTTATAATTTTTTTTGCGTGTTTTTTTTTTGTTCTTATTCTTTTTTTTTTTTACTTATTTTTATTTTCTTTTTTGAATTTTTCCTTTTTTCTTTTCCTTTCTTTTCTTTTTTCGTTTCCTTTTTCTATTTCTCGCGTCGTTCTTATATTTGCGTGCTTATATATTTAGTCCTATTTACGTGTTTGTGCATTAGGATGCGAATGTGTTTGTCGTGTCATTTGTATAAACCTTCTCCCTATCTACTTTTGGCTCTGAATTCTGACTTTCTTGTATCTAATGTTTGTAGCATTTGTAATACTTCTTACATCAGCGTTGAAGTGTTGAAACAAAATGGCTATTTTTGTAGTGATGTTATAACATGTCATGTTTATAATTTTTGAATAAATTTTATTTGCTCTACTTTGTATTGAGCACTCTTTTAAGAATAGGGCTATTATATGTAAAATGTAAATGCTTTATCAATCATTTTACTAAAGAAATGCATTGAAAATCAGGAAGAAAGTTGTCAGGAATGAAGGCAAGTGTTAATGAGAGGACACGGCTATTATATTTCTTCTGTATTTTTAACTTTCACTTAATCTCTTATTGCAGATTTTATGATTTTTTTTTTTTTTTTTTTTTGTTGATTGAATGTTTCTCTTGCATTCTTTTTCAGCTTTCAAGAAATCATCATTTTCTGGACAAGCAACTCTTCCCTGGCCTCAAAATGTGAATCCTTTCTGCTTCGAGACGTCTTCAACAACCGTGTACCAGATACAATTTTCTTTTTTCTTCTGTCTCTTTTATTTTTCCAACTGACTCGCCATCTTTTCCCGTCCCTTAATCTTGAACGATTAAGTAACTTAATTCTCCCACCCACACCGAACAGCTGCTTACTTCGTTGACGTTTGTTTAATCATTTTACACCCAATAAAATCTTCTTTTTACAATTTGAAACATTGGTAAGCATTAGAAAAATTATAATTTAATCAATTTATTCAATTCCCTTTCTAGAAATAACTAATAACCCTGTATCTCTAAAATCGTTCAATACAGCCAATCTCGCAATAATTTTAAAACCATTTTTGGCAAATCTTCTCAATTTAGAAGTTCACAGCCCCCATCTTTTTGTATTTAGCATATTTAAAATGTTTATTATGTATCAGTATTATTAGATTTTTTTGTGTTATTATTAATAATAATAAGCCTTAAATAGTACAGCTAGTTCTCTAATTCCAGTTGGTCTCAAATGTTATTCTTCAAGCCTGAATAAAACCTACGATTTCGGATGCCAATTTTCAAGGCATTCAGATCTTCTCTACTATTTGATTATGTTCTTTACCAAGATTAATAAATCTGAACTAATTATTTTCTTTAAACATACATTGATTTTACAAGCATAGATTTTTTTTTATTTAACTAAATCCATTTCTCTATTGACCATATGGGGGTTTGGTACCTGTTCTTTCTGTATGTCAATTCAAAACTATTTGTACACCAAACACAATTCATGTTTGATAATAGTTTACCAGTTTCATGTGGTCATTAAGGGATTGTCAGTGGTCAGGAATTAAGGTAAGAATTACTGCTAGAATAGGCCTATTATAAGTGTCATTTAAATGTATTACTTTACTATAGAACTACCTTGAAAATCAGGAAGAAAGAGATGATTTTACTATAAATTTATTGAAAATTAGGAAGAAAGGGATTGTCGGTGTTCAGGAATTAACGCAAGCCTTATTGATAGAATAGGAGGATGATATGTATAATGTAAATGCCTTACAAATGATTTTATAGTATAATTTTATCATTGAAATGAGCCCTCTGAAAAAAAAGTATCATTAATAATCGTATTTAGCTACGAACTGAAGAAGATTTTATTATTTTGGCCAATTAACTGCCATAGAAAAAGTGTAGCCAGAAGAAAAATCAAATCAAATGAATGGATAGAAATACAAATACTAGCGATAGACATAATACCAGAAGATAAGATATTTAATATCAGAACCATTATTTTATGTTTCACAAAGAGTTTTTGTTCAAAATTATCTCTCTACTGCTTTGTTATAATTTACTTAATTCTTCGATATTTTTTTCTTTTTAAATAACAACGTCTTGCAGATTGGTTTCATCACAGTACGCAAGAATTAGATAATTAGTTTTTAAAAACATAATTCCATATATTTGGAAATGTGCAACGTAGCCATTATAAAAATCCAACACCCAATCTTTCGAAACTTTACCTAAAGTAACACCTAACTCACCCAGACGACACGTCAATATTGCGATTCAAATTCGTTAGGAGTCCATTTGCTTTTCTTTTAAATATTTTGTCTATGAAATTAAAAACTAGCTGCCGCTTTATTTTTTTTTAACATCTCTAAATTTGTTGCCAATGGATACAAAGCCCAAGTGGGTTTAAAAACTGGTTCTGTAAACTTGTAACATTTTAATAAATAGTCCACAAGAACTGTTTTACTAAATAACAGATCGATATAATAGTCATATGCAAATACAGTCAATAATTATTTTGCATGATTTGAATAACTCTGAGATTTCGAGTGTGAGAAATTTGGTTTAGTAAAAAAAAACAAAACAAACAAATCTTAAATTTTAATGAATATTTCATTTACTTTCTACGAATTCAAAATCTTGCTATTCAGTTATTTATTTATTTTTTTTTTGTCAACGTCCATCTTTGAAAATATCTTTTTACTCTTTGTGGCAAATAATATCTATGGTATAAAAGCACTTAAAGTAACAGGAATTTATATTTTTCGATGGTAAACATTTTTTACAAAAAAAAAACCTACTGCCATTTACAAAGGACTTGAAGTAAAATTTAAAAAAAAACAACAACAACAACACACACACAGAGAAAAAGGACACGAAAAGCAACCCAGAAACTAATTGTATCCCACAATTCCCAGCATTTCCTCTCTCACAATTCCAATCACTTCCTATCGCGCAATTATAGTTTTTGTCTATCCCAATTGTTTATCCCAATAAATCTTTTTTTTTTTTACTTTAAAAAGAGAAAGAAATTAATTGGAAAAGAACTGTTCAAAAGTTTTTAAAATATTATTTGGAAATTTATTTAAAAAAAAAAGTTAGACCAATGTTTTCTTTAAAAAGTCACACTAATGACAAGATGTCAAACATTTTTATTTCTCTGATAATTATATTAAATACATAAAAGAAATAAGTAATATATCTATCTCTGTGCTTATTACGCACATAACCCCAGTGAAAGCAGCCAGAAAATAAAAGCCACAATGTATCCCATGCAACCATTGTTTCCAATCAGTAACCAGCCTAGTATTTATGGGCAACCATTTTATTCACCTGAACCTTTAAAGGGACCGGAAAAGTTGGGCTTGTTGGATGAAAAACTCTATAAGCCAGAAATCTGTTGTGATGAAAAGGACTTCTCGTCCAACCTCCCCGGAGGTCTTGGTTCCAATTCGAATCCAACTAACAACATGGATAATAATAGCAGCGTTGACCACCACCATCACCCGTCTGGCCACGAACGAATACCTCCACCCAAGGACGTACAATGTTCTGTTTGCAAAAAAGCCTTCTCGAACACTTTCTTTCTGAAAATCCATGAACGCATTCACACCGGGGAGAAGCCTTTTAGGTGCTCGACCTGCCCAAAAGCATTCACCCAACAGGTGAACCTACGGAATCATGAACGAGTTCATTCAGGCGAGAAACCTTTTATCTGTTCGGTTTGTGGGAAAGCGTTCAGTCAACGGGGGAACTTGAAGCTTCACATGAGAACCCACACAGGTGACCGGCCGTATGCCTGTGATCTGTGCGGTAAAGCCTTCTACCAAAAAGTCAATCTCGACGACCACCGGCGTGTACACACTGGAGACATGTTTTACTGCTCTTTCTGCAAAAAACCTTTCACGAATGCATTTTTTCTGAAGATCCATGAACGTGTACACACAGGCGAGAAACCATTTGCATGTCCGTTTTGCCCCAAAGCATTCAGTCAACAGATAAATCTGCGTAACCATGAGAGGACACACACTGGAGAGAAGCCCTTTGCCTGCTCAACATGCGGGAAAGCATTTAGCCAGAAAGGGAACTTAAAACTACATTTACGTACACACACTGGAGAAAAGCCTTTTGTCTGTGATGTGTGTGGCAAAGCATTCAGTCAGCGTGTTAACCTGACGGATCATAAACGTATCCATACGGGCGACATGTTTTACTGTCAGTACTGTAAGAAAGCGTTTTGTAATGCATTCTTTCTTAAGATTCATGAACGAATCCATACTGGGGAGATGTATAAATGCTCAATGTGCCCCAAAGCATTCAGTCAGCAAATCAACTTGCGGAATCATGAGCGTGTGCACACTGGAGAGAAACCCTTCTACTGCACAGTCTGCTCAAAGATGTTCAGCCAACAGTGTAACCTGCGCACCCATATGCGCACGCACACAGGCGAGAAGCCCTTTGCGTGTGACCGGTGTGGCAAGTGTTTCTCTCAGAAGGCCAATTTAAACAACCACAAGCGCACACGTACGGGCTGTGAGTTGTATATCCGCAACCCTGCCAACAATCCAGCCACAACTGCTACCAATAATGCAACTACTGCTGCTGACACTGGGACTTCTGCTGCTGCTGCCTCTGGGCCGTCATCGGCATCAGTGTCACCAATCATGTCCCCTCCTATATCGCCAATGTCATCGCCGTCGTCAACATCCCTGCCCAAGATGAATGTCCTGAAAATGCCGACACCAACTCTGTCACATGCTTCGGCCTTTAATCGAAATCGTGCTGGCCTAAGCACCAAGGAACACATGCAGTCACCACAATTGCCCCATCACCAACAACCCCTCTCTCCATCCTCGTCGTCGTCTTCTTCATCAGTTAAAAACGACATGAAACCAAGTCTTCTGCACCACCCTCCCCCGCTCCCTCAGCAGCACAGTAGCAGCCACACCCACCGGAATAGCAACCATCACCTTCACCAACAGCATCCGGGTTTGCTTCACAATAGCCACCAAGAGCACAATAACATTCGTGAATCACCATCCTTGTCATCATCACTGCCTCCCCTTCCCCAGCTCCCACCGCCTCATCCCTCTCACCACCATCACCACCACCAGCAACAACAGCAGCAACAACAACAACAAATGACTAGCCCCTTACCTAGACTGCATACCCCGAACCCACCTCCGACCCCAGTTACTGCCCCGACCCCAACATCACGAATGGGCTCCTTCTACCTACAGGAGATGCCCCAGTCTTGGGAGAATAACTACTTGTGGTCTCGCGGTTTTGCTATGCCACATATGTTAAATGCTGGCTGGAACAGCGTGCCAAGTGCGTTTACAACCAGTGTTAAACACGGCAAGCCAAACACATTTCAAGTCTTCCGAACCTTCCGCCTATCCACGGCAGCAGTATGCCAAAGCCGAATAGCGACTACTTGAAGTAGCAGAACATTTGTTTTCTTGCAATCACGGTAAAAAAATAAGACAGTGTGTCTTAGCGTCAGAAATATGGCCTGGAAAGCAAAGCAATATATATATATATATATATATATATATATATATATATATATATATATATATATAATTTATTATAGGATATTAAAACGTTAAAAATACATTAATCTTCCACTCGCCAGTAATTTAATATGGCCTGAAGAGACACATTTATGGGGGTCGAAACATAATTGTAATTGTGTAGCGATTTTAAACATGTTTTAATATCCTAAAATAAGTAATATTTAGCCCTACTTTGTATTGAGACCTCTTTTAAATTAAATGTGACGTACAGTGGAACCATACTCCATTTGTTTTCTCATTTTACCTATATATATATATATATATATATATATATATATATAGAGCTCAACACTAATATTCCATGGTTTATTTAATTTATAACATTGGAATCGATTTCAGTGTAATAAATTATAACCATGGAATATTAGTGTTTGATCCTATATTCTTACTCTGTACTGGACATTGAGTTCTATCTAGATTCTATCCTCTTGGGAATTTATATATATATATATATATATATATATGAATATATGAATATATATTATCTCTCTCTCTCTCTCTCTCTCTATATATATATATATATATATATATATATATATATATATATATATATATATATATATATATATATATATATATAGGTATGCCAAAGTGGAAAAAAGTTTACTTGTAACGCGTTTCGTCTTTTATAACGACATCAAGTTTAATAAAATTAGTCCGATGGAGTCTCGAAGGACGAAACGCGTCACAAATAAACTTTTTCCGCGTTGTCATACAATTTCCCTAATACTGTTCTTGATATCTAAAAATATATATCGTTATATGTATGTATATGAACAAAAATTCGATTCCACAGAACATTTGAATTGATGCATAAAGGCATCCTTTAGAGATCTCTTTCGGCTAAGACATCATGCGGACAAACTGTTTGCAAAGTTGATTGGCAAAACGAAAACAATTCGCACAATCCCCCCTCTTCTTTTTTTCTCTCATCTTCGTTTTATTCACGAATATTTCACGAATAAATTTGCATTTTTAGTCGTGATCCCTTTTCTCTTCTCCGGCCATATTTTCTCCTACAGTGTGAATTGTTTCCCTTTTGTCAATCAACTTTACTTTACTCATGTTTTTCCCTGATGACGTGTTTAGCCGAGCTCTCTAAAGAACGCCTTCGTGTAAGACAAAAGGAAAACTTAACCGACATGTTTTTTGTCCTCTGAGGGACTTTGTCAAGGAAAAAAAATTGCCTTAATAAATTCCCTCAGAGGACAAAACACGTCGGGTAAGATACATTTTCCTTTTGCCTTATTCATATGGTCATTTTATACTCTGTCTGAAATTTTAACACACACACACATATATATATATATAGCTATCTATCTATCTACACACCCATGAGCCATCATTGTGTAGTTGAGGAACTGTTTTTTCTGAAATCGCTAAGTGAGATAAAATTAAAAAAAGATTAGTGAACAAATTATCAAAAATAAGGCTTGAAAATTTTTAGTTGTACGTGTTAATATTAATAAACTGAAATGACAAAATAAAAAGGAATTAGTCTTCCTATTATTTTGTCATATCAATTATAAATATTGTCTTTCAGATACATTTAATTAAATTTATTTATATCTCAATTTGTACATGTCAATATCAATGGAGTTTTATATACAATATTTAATCCCAAAACAGAAAAAAAGAACAAACTTATAGCAAAATTAGGGTTTTTTAGGTGTCTTTTTTTCCTCCCTTCATCTTTATTAACGTCTCCTTGATCTAACGATCCTTGAACACTTTCCATAACTGAAGTCTATCAGGTCTTATTTTTGATAGATCCATAATGGCAAACTTTTCTATTTTTAACGATTTCATACCCCCCCCCAAAAAAAAAACAAAACCAAAATAGTTCCTAACGTACACCAACATTTTTTCTTTTGTTTTCTTTTTAATTTTTATTTTTTTTTTTTTCTGGCTATTTCTGACGCAGGGCCAATGCCTTATTTGACCGTCATCATATTGTGACATTTTGTATTTGTTGTATTGTGTTTCATGTTGTGTGTCCCGTCATGAATATGTTGGGAAAAAAAAAGAAACACAGAGGTGCCATATTCCTTTTCTTTTTTTTTTTTAAGGACAATTTTTAAGATAATTCATCATAAAGGTTGCTACCGTGTTCCATATTGCGAATTTGCCTTATTTAAATTTTAAATAGTTTTAAAGTTAGAATTAGAGTTGAATCACAAGGGACATTAAAAAAAAAATTGGATGAGTATAGCTTTATTATCAATTTAAAAAGTAACTGTCATTTTTATTTTGCATAATAATTTTTTAAACGTTTTACATCGATAAAGAAACACTCATCGTCCAATAATAGTTTAAAAAATTGTTTTTTAAATATAAACGGTTCTCTTCTACGCTAAACAATTTTTCAGATCAAAATCATTCAACACAAGATTAGATCTAAATTCAAAGCTCTAACCGTAAAAAACGGTGACGGCTTAGTCTAGCTCAAGATCTGGGCTGACTGCGTGGATTGAACTTGTGTAAATGATTTGGTCTTAATTTGTGAGTCATCGCGTTGCAATACTGCCATTATAAAACGTAAATTTAAAGATTCTGGTCAGAAAAAAAATGTTTGGTTAAAATACAAGTCTTGCAAGCTATTGATAATAAGTTTAATTTAATAATCTTGTTTGAAAATGCCTGGCTGATAATAAAGTTACAGGAAGAAGAAAAAGTCGCAGAAAAAGTTACAATTCTTTTAGGAAAAATGCCGCAGAAAAAAAATGTCACAACTTCGTTTTGTGAGTGACATGTTTGGTATTGTAACAGATTTTTGAAGCACTCTTCTGTCAATAATTTCTATGTCAGGAGGTGTAAAAATTATTTTCATTAAATCGAATTATGAAGACAACAGTAAGATCTGATATTTCCACTGTTCACTCTGACTTCGGGGTTAGAATAAAAAGAAAAGAAAAATTTAATAAAGAAAGCGCAGAAACAATGCGAACATTATCCTGTGACTTTTTTTCCCTGTGACTTTTATGCCTTTTTTTTTTAAACCTGGATTTGAAAATGCATTCTTCTACCAAACTCAATTCAGCTAAAATCATGGGATTTGTCAATTTTATTTTATTTGTTTTTTTTTTTTTTGGTTTTTAGGAAAAAATTTTATCTAAATTTTTTTTCGTGATGTATAGATGCCGTGTCTTTGGTCTCTAACTAAAAAAAAAACTATTTCCTATACTGTCAAAAATTGTTAAATAAGTCATATTTGCAGTATGAGACGAGGTAAAAAAATTTCAATTTTTAAATGAATGCATAAGTTACTTTTTTGTTTTAAACAAAAACAAAAGTTTTTAATTTTTTGAAATTTTATTTTTAATTTTTTAAGACAAAACGAATTGTTCATTATATTTTGTTTTCTCCTCAAGTATTTCAAGATGAAAATTTAAAAAAAAAAATTAATTAAATCTTCTAATTGTTTGACTGTCAATAAAAGGCTATCAGATATCGGCTGACCTAAAATTTACTAAAAATGTAGGTTATGTGACACTTTTTCGTTTAGTATCTTTGTTTGTTGCTTTAGACAAGGCTCCTTGGCCGATATATTCTTCAGCTTTTCTCAAGTATCTGTTGTATTTGAAGGTTTTCCAAAGCGACTTGTATCCTTTTCTTCAACAAGTAAATCAACAATGGGCATGTAGAAGAAAAAGTCTTAACTTTGTGAGAGATGTAAACATTAACATAGAACTGAGTTCTAAGGCTTTATTTAGCCTTACATTGACCTCTAAGGGATAAAAATATTCCTATGGGGTGTTTTTTTTTCATATGGTATTAAAATTTCCATGAAAATTTAATAAGGTCTTTTTAACTGATTTTAGGGATGTCTCATTAAATAAATTACAAACATTATATCTGCTTATTTTTAGCAGAATCCGTTCATATTCACGGATATTTTTCCGTGTATTACAATCAAATGAGGCAAGAAATGCACTGTAACAGTGAAAGTCACTTTAATTTCCCAAGTATTTTCTATTTCTTTCTAAGGTCATCATCAGGGGTGCAACTGGTAAGGCAAAAATATGTGCAGCTATCCATTACTGAATTTTTTTCTTTTTGCGTTTAAATGCCACGGCTGACAATGTTGCATTAGAACGTGAAAAATTATTTATTATGGGAATTTTTTTCTCTTATGTTATAATGTCATGGTCAAACGCGAATTAAGGCGTTTAAACTGTTCTTTTTATGGGCATTTTAGACAATTATTACAGCATTCTATTCAGTGTCAGTTTCAATTTTTTAATGTAGATTGCTTCGAGGATCTGTAGTTTTAATTTGTTATTTTCATGGTGTAGGATAGGATTTAATTGATTTCGTCGATGTGATTCTCGCCATGAAATACCAGAGATCGGAATCAAATTTAATATCCATCAGGAACTTTTGTTCTAAGAGGAGTTGAGTATATACTGGGTTGTACTCACTGTTATCTCAGAAAGTCGAAAGGCCTAGGAGCCCTGAGGGTTGACTTAGAAGGTAACCTTAAAACCACTAAGTGCAGAATCGGGCCTTGAAGGATGTTGGTGGGTGCACTAACATGAACGCGGCAATTAGATAACGGAGAGTTATCTAAAAAGCATACCTACGAAGGTGGCGGGGTGAGGAGAAGTGTGGTTACTTCTTTTTCTACAATTTGCAAATAGAACCAAAGAAAAGAAATCATTAAGCACTTTGTAAAGACCCCCAGATACAACATACGTCTGCCAAAGGCCGAACAAACTGTCAGTCAAAACTTGGTACGGTGAAGAGCAAAGGTGTAGATGACAAATTAAATGGGTCAAGTTAAAATGATTTTCAAGAATTCATTTGTAATTATCAAACAAAACATGTGACTGTATAATTAAACCTACCCATCTATTAAAGCG